TCCCGATAATGTTATTGTTTTATTTTTGAACTCTTTAAACTAACCAAATTACTTCCAGGCATTTTCATCCAGTTAAAATTTTTATACCAGTGTTGACATTTGCTTAAATTTTGGAATCTTTTCATCAGTCCAGAATCTCTTCTAACGTTTTCTTGTTTTGAGACGTGGGCAACGTAATTCTTGATTTTTTCATGAAATTTCAACCTTGGTCAGAATAATTCTAAACTTTCATTAACTGTACCTGGTCTATCCATTGCAATTCGCAACATGTATCCGTAGACTGGAGGACGAAAGTAATTCCAGACATTCTTATGCAGTTCAGAATCGATCTGAATAATTCCTGACACTTCGTTAAAATCTGAACTTTTGCCAATGTCATTCCAGATTTTTTTCATAATGTCTAAAGTAGTATTAGTTTTATTCAACATTCTTTTCATACAGTTAAGTGATTTACCCGCATCAGTTGAGACTTCTTCTTGCAGTATAGAAACCTATCGATATAATTAGAACCTTTTCTTATAGTTCAGAATATTGTAAATGTAATTCCATACACCTTTTGCAATTTAGAACTTTGTAAACGTAATTCTTGATCTTTTCATGAAGTTTTAAGCCTGGTCAGAATAATTTTAAACTTTTTAAGTTATATAGTTTCTTCTATTTATATTATCCATTGTAATTCTAAACATATATTTGAAAATTGAAAGACTCGAGTAATTCCAGACATTATTGTGCAGTTTAGAATCAATAAGAATAACTCCTGACATTTTGTTAATCTGTAAAGTATTCCCAGAGTTATTCCAGACTCTTTTTTATGATCTGAAGAACCACCAGCGACATTCAAGACTTTTTCATAAAGCTTGATATCCTGTCCGCAACATATCAGACTTCTTTTTGCAGTCTAGAATCCTATCAGCATAATTAGACTTTTTCTTATTCCTTGTAATGCGGCCAGCTTAATTCATGACTTCTTAATACTATATTTTGGTGTCTAGTAAGTTTTAATCTACCTAAGGTAATTACAGATTTTTTCATGCACACAATCTAAAATCATTCCAATGTAATTATATAGTTGTTCTTACAGTCGATAATCATGTCAATGTTATTACAGATTTTCCCTTTCAGTTTGGAATTCGGCTAACCTAATTCCTGGAAATTTCTTGATATTTTGATTCTGGTTAGTAAGTCCACAAGAATATTTTGCTGTATGGATCTGATCAATGCAATTCCATACTTTTTTTTAAGTATTTCCAAACATTTTCCGAAATTTCCTTTGAAATATATGTCTATTATTACGACAAAATTATTCATGCTAAGTATTCAGGGTTTGGTCGAAACTTGAGAAAGCAGTTTTCCAATCCAGCTGCAACGTAATAAAATAACCATTTAGTATTCTTTTTTAAACATTTTTTGAAAAACATTTTCTTAATATCTGATAATTGCCCACTTCAAAAAAGTTTTTCCGTTTTACTGGAGGTTTTGCACGTAGGCCATCATCTCTCCTCTTTATTCTTTGCTACCAACTCATTAAACTTCCGGCGTCGATGAGAGAAAACTCTGCCCGGTACTTTCCGTTACCGTTTAAACAGTCGCTTCCGTTTTCCTCGTACCGCCCGGGGAAAAGCCTCTTTCTGTATCCCGGGGTTTTACGGACTCCTTTGCCGCACAGAAAGAGACGCTATGGGGGTGGAGGAAACCCACGGGGATGGCAAACACCGAGATAAGCGGATAATTAGCCAACGTGATAAAGGTGAGAATTACAATTAAAAGTCAAACAATTAAATCAAAGTAGCCCTGTTGCGAATTAATAAAGCCTCCCGTTACTGTTCAAACGGCCCCGAACCCAAACTATATTTATTTAGCGTACTTACCTTAAACTCTGGGGGACCCTCATTTCCTCTAGGAACAAGGTCCATGATAGATCCAGTTAAAAAAAATCATTTCAAAATCAACTAACTGATAAAAAATGAATATTTTAGTATTTTAAATCACAGTTATTACTATCCATTTGTTGATTATAACTCCTTCATCCGCTTTCATATTAAATACAGGGTGGTGCGCCCCTTTGCCACCACAGCACCACTACCAGAGCTTGCTAATTAGTGTAGTACTCTCGAACAACTGTTCAGGACTACAAACTTTACAAGTGTACGATGCACAATAATTCCAGAATTGATGGACGCTACCACCGCTCGCTGAGCTAGAGAGATCAGTATCGCTGACTAATCTTAATTGAACGTCATCTTAATAACGACAAGGTAAGCACCACCGACCAGAGTATGTTCAGGATTCCAACGGTAACGTTGATGTGGTCAGGGAGAGAATTTGCCTCCGACCAAGCGTTTCGTTTACTTTACCAGGAACGGTTTAATTACGTAATTAGCCGTCTAAGGAAAACTTTCTTTGTAGAAAACTTCCTACCAAAAAATTAATTCGACTTGTAATTAAAGATTTTTGAGGTGGGTAATTATCAAGCGTGGTACGCATATTAAGATGAGTCAAGTGCACCGAGGGATCGTCATCGTAGATGTCCCCCTTTTCATCGGAATGTTGTGCGGGCATAAAACGAACGTTAAAATCTTGAATTATCATCTTCAACCCTTTTACGATCTATTGGGGGGCAATAAAAGCGGCTTAAAGCACCCTGCGATAACACTGTTAGCATGCCAAGAGTTACTTTAAAAATTCAACTAACGTAAGAAGAATCAACTTCAAGTTCTTTATAAATTATATTCGTGGCGCCTCCACCATTTTTTTACATTACTATATTTTACGAATTTGGAGTAGAATATAAGGTTTTTAATTGACATCACCATGAATGCATATCCCGACTCTACCGAACCCTTGGTCCTTTCACCCAGGTCCTCCGAGAGGGTGGTCGAAATCAGAACGAATCGCACACAAATGAGCAAAGCCGTGGAGGGGGGCGGCGTGAGCGGAGGTGAACGGGGGCAGAATGTGGGGTGGCGCATATTGGTCTAGCGACCCTTATGTGTGTCCGCCACAGATTCCGACTCCTAATTAAGAACGGGGGCGAACGAAGGGGGCCCGCTCCTACGGGTCCAAGGAGGGATGTATATTGATCAAGTCAGACAGAGACCGCCGTCGCCGCCGTCGCCGAGTTATTATTTCGGCGGCCGGCCGGCTCGTCGTGGCACCCTCTCGCTTTGCATGCGCGCGACTTCCCCAGGCGCTGAGGAAATTAGCGCTTTTCCAACGACGGCCGGACGAAGAACCGGAGGACGAGAGGGATTTTAGTACGTCCCCACCGGAGTCGGATTATACCGCGGACGTCGCCGCTGGACCCTTCATTAAAAATTAAGATACGCCCATAATGAGAGATTTGATTAAAAACACATTAGGGGTATAGGGTTATATAAATATGAAAGTTGATTATGCAGTACTTAATATGTGTGTACAATAAAATGAAACCATTGCATTAAACTAAAATTAGAACTAACACTAGCACTATCACTAAAACTAACACTAGCACTATCGTTAAAACTAACATTACCTCGAGACCTAGAACTAGAAACTAGTACTTATGAAACCATTGTATTATCAAAATACGCAGAGATTCAATATTAAATAAACTAAAGCTAAAATACTCTACTTTTTAGATGTAGTACAGAGATACTGGGATTTGATATCAAAAGTTTTCCATTTTGATGACCATTGTAATATGATGATATTTAGGGTATCAAACTTAGTTTTCAGAGAGGAAGATTTATGTATCACATTATTTTACCACCAAATTTCTATTTATTTTTGTTACACCCTATATAATGTTAGAATTTTGAAACATTTTTATTAGAAAGATAGAATCGATAAATTAAAATTATCTAGAGCTTTGTTGTTTTACTTAACTTGTTCGTTACTATAATTAACGGTAAAGTTCTATCCAACTTCGACGTATCGGGTTTCCTACAGCCATTTTTCTTCCTTGTTCCATACTTAATTATATTTCAGTGGAGTGCATCAATAATAAAGCAAGCTTTCTTCGCAGCCAATCAACCATGCTCTAGTAAGTTGATACATCGACATAGAATACATGATAGTTTATGTGATATATACAGGGTGATTTATTAGCTCACCATCAAACTTTGACATATGATAACTAATTCAATTACCAAAAAAAAAATATTAACAGTTATTAAACACAATACAAATGGCTGCTACTGAAATAAGAAATCAACCAGACATTTTAATTCGGCTGAAGAACACTTTAATTCGTCGTTGTGAAGCATTTATTTTAGCAGAAGGAGGCTATTTTGAACAATATTTGTAATATTTATGTGTTTTAAAAAAGATGTTGCAGTTAATTATGATATAAAAATTAAAACTTTAAAGTGTTATAATTTCCTAAATAATTGGAATAGGACATATGTTCATTAACCTTTTTTTTGCTAATTGGATTAGCTATCATATGTCAAAGTTTGATGGTGAGCTAATAAATCACCCTGTATAAAATGGAAGGAAAGAAATAATGGATTTATCGATCTTCCTCTAGCACAGATTGTACACGGTGCGTAATATTTTATTGCAACTTCCCCACCGGCATCTAAAGACGCTTTACCGCGAGACTATTAGTCTTTTCAAAAGGAGAGTAAGTTGACGTTCCCCTTCTGGACAAGGGAAAAAGAAAAAAAATTGAGAGGCCTCGATCCTGGCAAGGTAATTAATTATTTTTTTGGCGTTATCGGGCACCGTCTGCTTCCTTTTACCTAATTCAGTGTCGGGGGAGTGCCTCTCCGATCGGCGGCAATAAAACGCACCGTTCGCCCTACTAAGATTGCCGATCGCTCGTGCATAACTAACGAGCAGTCGACGACGATTTGCGATTTCAGTGCTACCACCTACGTGAAACGCCTAAGCTGCCAGCTAAAATTTCTTAATTTAGACTCACCCCGCCACCCAATATTGATGGCTTTAATTTGCCAAACTGGATGTTAGGGTCTGAAGGAAACCAAAAAAAAATTATTGTTCTATTTTATCTTTTTCAGATCTTACTGTAACAAGTCGACCTTCTACTAGTAAGGCAATGAGCAAGGTGAGTTAATTGTCTCATAATTATTTTAGTCTTATTTTCAATCTTAATTTTGAGATAATGTAGTAGTACATAATAAAAGATTCATCACCTAGGTTATCATGTAGATCATCATATTGATTGGAACGGCTAAAGAATAAAAGTAAAGAGGGGGTGACAGTGTCATTAGATCCGACACCTGTGGCACGCGAGTTCCTCATTATTACCCCAGCACAAACGCGAACCCTGGTAAACGTGGATTCGGCACCGTCAGATAGCTATTGAACAGGCAGTGTTCCATGAATTAATAGCTTTCGATTACTTTCAACACATACCGTACCAAAACCCTTTTAATGTCCCACTGTTGATCGTTAATATTTTATCACACAAATTATCGTCACTAAATAAACATGAATCCAAATGGGAAAATACATTACTTTTTTTTATAATATTTTTTTAACCACTTTAAAATCTTAATGTTGGTATCACCTAGCTGTTTTAACGCAACCATCGTCGCATTGTCTTCTTGTGGCGCCGAAACGAGGAGCGTCGCGACGACGAGCGTTTCGGCATCCCCACGGGCCTTAACTGCTAGTTCGCGTGTCTGCGGTCTACGGTTTCTAGGTCCCGTAATGTTCGATTTGTCCCACCGCGCGAACGTCCCGGCAAATTGTGATGGAACGCGGGCTAGGGATACTAGGGTGGTGTTTCTCTTCCTTTTCCTTTTGCTCTCACGCTGCTACAACCCAGCCGGATTCTGCCGGCCGCTGCTGCTAATGTAGCAGACAAGCTGATGAAGACAACTCGCACACACGGGACGTTTCAACCCCTGAGGACCTTGCTCGCTGACCCTCAGAATACAATTTCTCTAGCAACAAGAATATTGCTAACAAGAACCCTCTAAAATTCTATATGTATAAAACAAAATTGATACAAATAATGATTTAATATTCAACAGAAAATGAATACTAATTTCATTATTAGCGAAACTTTTGAATAACTTAAAAAGGATTTAAAATCATTTAGGACATATCTCAGTTCCTAACAATGAACTGCAACTTTTTCAAATCCCTCCAATCCTTATTCTGTATTTCAGGTAAGAAAGTGGAGTTGTAAATTAGTTTCGTCATATATCGTAAACAGACTCCCTTAGCAATTTCAAGTTTTCGTCTTGCTTGGCTTCCAACGCTGCATAAAATTGATCACCAGAACAATCGGTGGCAGAATTGCAGAACAATCAGTTGGTTTTATAAATGTGGTTTTTAGCTCTTTTATCATTCCCTAAGCGGGTTTTCATGCGATATTGAAACCATGCATATTGGGAAACGTAGCTCAAAAATAGCTTTTGTAGCAGGAATTTTTATAGCTTCTCATCTCTTCCTCCATTCACCGTATTAAATGCGATGTTCAAATCAATGAAAAAGGCATAAAACTATTTTGTCTAAAATCCAACCCAACCCAATTCCCAGCCAACCAAATGTTTCATTCCTAACCTCCATTCATTCTGAAACCTTTCCACTCACTACTTCTATAGCTCCATCTTCTCTTCTCTCTTGAACTTCTACTTTTCTAATTGTTATTTTTCCTCTAAATCCACCATTACACATGCCTTCCTTCCCTATCTGCCAACAGCCTGATAAAATATTTCTTCCAATTGCTTATTGAGATTTTAGTTGATATTTTTTCATTTCTGCCTTATACTTAATGTGAATGTTAATTCCAGTTTGGCATTTTTCTATATTTTTATATTAATTCTTCTGCAAATTCCGGCAACATCACTACCTTAATCTTCTTCTCGTGTTCTCTTTCGATACTAAGCAGTCTCTATCTCCTACGTTGTCTGTACTCTTTCTTTATTGACATGACTAAGCTCACAAAGTCGACCATTCCATCAATCTTCTTCTTTCCTTTCCCCCAAATTTCTAACGTTTGTTTGTAAGATATTGTTTCTGGCATCAACTAGTTGACCTTTAGGTGTGTCTAGTAAAAACGTACAAGACAGCTTTGCAGATTGCAGACAGATTGCAGTTGATGAGAACAAATCTAGCACTTATGGTAAACAGTTTTTTGATACTAAGACCACCATAAATTTAAAAGTATATTCAAAAATATACAGAGAAACCAGAAATATTATTGATCATTCTTCAAAATGTGAGGTTGGCATTGTTAACAAATTATCTTTTCAAATAGTACTTTGTTTTGTAGTATCAATATGTTCATTGCGTCACTATCTAAACTCGCCAGAACGAAATATAACCCAACCCATATTTTTTCTCGTTTTTTAGCACATTCTGTACTAAATACAAATAAAAATTTAAATCATTTTCATCGTTTTAAGTTATCATTCAAAGTCTTGAAGCTTCCGGTATTTTTATCTGGCAACCATCGTTCGTAAGCCAAAACCGGATCCGACCATGACATCCTTCTCTCATCTGTCTTAACGTAGCATCGCATTACCGGCGGAGATTTTTCTTGTAGGGTTCGATCGTGCTCCTTGTAATACGGAGCAGAAGGATGCCAACCCCGAGGCGATAGTCAGCGCGCCCCCCCTTCGAAAAGCGTCTCGATCCGGATTACACACGCCGACACCTGCACCTATACCCCGCGAAAAAGGGGAACGCAGGCTAATACGACCTAAGAGAGACGATTTCTCACCACCACTTCCGCATATCTATTCAATTTATTATGGCGGAGACGCGAGTGAAATAAGAAATCTGCGCGGATTTGTCCCCATCTTCTATCTGTAACTGACAGATTTCGAAATAAATTTAAATTAAATTTCAATATTTTTTAGTAAGAAAATGATTAATTTATAGAATAACATTGAATGTTGTACATTTTTTTCTTATAAGAGTTGTTATTTACAACCATTCGGATAAACCATTAAAAGTTTTCTTCATCTGCTTCCTGTTCGTTATTGACGCAGACGACGCGTCGCCGACGTCGCATTTAATAAAGTTAACAAGCGAATTTTTTTCAGGAATTGAACGATCAATTTACGTAATTAGGCGAGAATATTGAGTGACATCTTACTACGTAAACTCTTAAACGATTATAAAAATATCCAATCAAATCTAGTTATTATAAAAAAAAATTAAAATTAACTTTTTATGATATTTTTTATAGGTTTTGCCACACCTATAAATTGTGTAAAGTGAGTATATGTGATCATCCAACAGGTGGTCATCGTGTATCGGAAGTCACGTGACGCCATCAATCACAGGGCCGGATGGGTTCGCAATCCGTCACCTCAGGCGACAGCGTTATGTTATTAGTAACCTGTCGTCGCATGATTTCGTTGGATTAACTGTCACTGTACTCTGTGCAGGTTAGATGATGCACTATCTACACTTCATCGATTCGATATTACATCTAAAATTAGAAACTCGGGGTATTTGCAGAGTTACGATGTTATACAAGGACGGGTAGTTTTAGTTTTAATTGTTATTCAGCGCTAGATTGTTGAATATTTTTATTAAACTACAAGTAGAACAAACACTAGACCTACAACTAGAATCATTCGGGTTTAGCCGCACGTCTCACAAGACGGCTAAACCCGAATGATTCTAGTTCTAGGTCTTGTGTTAGTTCTAGTGCAAAAGTAGAACTAACACTAGACCTAGAACGAGAAACATTCAGGTTTAACCCGTTTTAAGAGACGCACGGCTACACCCGAATGTCTTTAGTCCTAGGTCTATGATTAGTTCTAATGTTGGAGTTTATGTACAGTGTGTTAATTAATTATCGTACCCGACGTCATCATTGCAAGTATGCAACCAACATCACAGTATTGGTATTGCAATACGCAAATCGCGTACAAATCCCGTATACTGTGATATTGGTTGCATACTTGCAATGGTGTTGTATATTCTTCATTAAGCTAAAACTAGAACTAACACTAGACCTAGAACTAGAAAGTTTCGGGTTTAGCTGTACGTCGTATTATAACATACAAAAAATTAGAAAATTATTATCTTAAGTAGTATGAATAAGAGTTTTCTGTATAGATGAAATTGAAGATGGTGACGAAACAATTTCAGTGGCGTAGTTAACGCGAGAGCAAGAGAGCGGTAAGGCATTCTTTCCCTCCAAAGCTGAATAAATTAGTGGTAAAACTGGGATATAAAATTTTGAATATGAATGGGAAATTTTGCATCCGTAATAAGCCCCTTTCAGAAACAAAGCGCAGCTGACGAGAACATATGTAGATGAGGCAAAGGAGACGGCCGCTTACCGACATCGCAGGACGAGACAACCAGGGACCTTATCCCAGAGAAAGCTCCGGAGAACGGTCCCCGGGAAATTAAATCTGCATTAAAAAATATAAATTTTGGGTTTCGGGGGTGGATCATTGTCGGGCGAATGCCGCTTAATTCTCTAATAGATTCACTTGAGTATTGTTCCTTTTTTTTTAATTTAATGAAAATGAAGATTAATGTTAAGAGAACGCACAACATGGATACCCCTAAGTGGAAATTATGCATGAAACGGTAGGAAATGATTCAGTGAGCAAATCCAATTACTCGTGTCTGCTTCGCGAGTCTCCCCCGCGTATAAACGTCGTAACCGGGTAATTTGTGCCTAAATCCTAGGTGCGGAAAACTCGGCATTAATATGTCGTTTATATTGATTATCAATCATACCCGTTTCTGCGAAATTATACGAAGCCTACATCGATTAAGGGCTGTAGTAGTGGTAGTGCACGAAACGGAATTCAGGGTTAAAGCTACGTGCACGAGACACGTTTCACCACCCCTTACGAATCGTGGGACCCAGGACACCTCCTAATGACCTAACCATTCCACCCCTACAACTCTGTAAATTCCATGCTCGTACATTAACGATAGTTGTACAGTTTTAGTACGACAAAAAATATTCGACAATAAATTTAGATTAAAGATTATATTTTTTCATTGTTCTGTTGAAGCCTGGATCATTTACTACTTTGTGAAATTGTCTTGTTGTGTTGTTTTAGCAAATAAAAATATATATACTTTTTTATTTAAACACTATTAAACGAGAAA